TCTATATATTTTCTATTAAATGGGGTATATTTTGTTACTGTGCTGCTGCAACAAGTAAATTTCATGCTATTCATCCTTCCTTTCTTCCTTCCTTCCCTCTCTATACTATTTTTCTTTCCTTGCTTGTAACTTTTCTTATTATTACTTTGTGTCCTTTATTTCCTGTTTATCCATTCCTTTTTCATTTGTATTCTTTTATTCTTCTTTTCTTTCTCCCTTCTGTCTTTGTATTCTTTTATCCTTTCTTGCTACCTTGTGTCCTTTCCTTCCTCCCTTGTGCCCTTTATCCTTCGTATTCTTCCTTTCCTTCTCTCTTTTGTTGTATCCTACATACTACCTTCTTTTCTTATATTTTCTTTCTTTCTTCCTTTCTTTCTTCCTTTCTTTCTTTCTTTCTTTCTTTGTTTCTTTCTTTCTTTCTTTCTTTCCTTCCTTCCTTCTACTTTATGTCCTTTTTCTCTCTATCTCTATTTACTTTACTTCCTTGTTCTCTTTTTCTTCTTTCCTTGTATCTTTTTATCCGTCCTTTCTTATGCTTTACTGCTTTATCTCCTTTTTTCCATCCTTTCTTCCTGCCTCACACACGTCTTTCCTCTCCTTTTTTCTTGTTTTTCAGGTTATCTTTGTCTGATATTAAACTTAGTTTAATGAAACATTTAAATCAAACAAAAATGTTTCCTCAGTGTTTATTTTACAGAAAGTTGCTTGTAAATGTTGCAGCAGTGATTCTGTGGAAAAAAAAAAACCCTCATAAGCAATGCATTTTTTTTTATTTAATCTAGATACCAGCTGCATTTTTCTACATTTCCAACGTGAGATTATCCTGCTGCAATTAAAACATGAAACTATTATTGAGCTTCAGATGTTTTCCAGAGGGTGGTGGTGCAATATAATAATTTCTGTAAGTGAATTCTGTATTTTATGAGTCGGCTCCCTGAGAAAAAAAAAAATCCCCTTTTTATGTGTTCAGCTGCTCTATTTGTTAGTACAGGTAAATATTTTTGAAGAAAGCAAATAAAAGTGTTAGCCTGAGCAATTATTTATTCGGATGATCTCTTTGTATTTGCTAAGGTGGGGCCTCCGCTGCGCCAGGCAGGTGTGTTCACTGTCTCTGGGTTTGGAGTAAATTTATGAGGCTGTTTTGTGCCTCGCTGCCTCAGGCTTTGCTAACATGCTGCCGTGTTCGGTGGACTTTGTATTTGACGGTGGGGTTGATTGCTGCTTTGCTGTGACGTAACGCATCTAACATTTCCAGCCGTCCACGATGTGTCGCTCTTTGTGTGTGTGTGTGTGCTTTTATTCAACTTTTAGGGTTTAATGTATTTATTAGGCTTTTCACATTATATATATATATATATATATATATACAGTTGTGGTCAAAAGTGTACATACACTTGTAAAAAATCATAATGTTATGGCTGTCTTGAGTTTCCAATAAGTTCTACAACTCTTATTTTTCTGTGATAGAGTGATCGGAACACATACATGTTTGTCACAAAAAACAGTCATAAAATTTGGTTCTTTCATAAATTTATTATGGGTCTGCTGAAAATGTCACCAAATCTGCTGGGTCAAAAATATACATACAGCAACATTAGTATTTGGTTACATGTTCCGTGGCCATTTTCACGGCAACTAGGCGCTTTTGGTAGCCATCCACAAGGTCCTGGCAAGCTTCAGGTCGAATGTTTGACCACTCTTCTTGACAGCATTGGTGCAGTTCAGTTAAATGTGATGGTTTTCTTGCATGAACCTGTTTCTTTAGCACTGTCCATGTTCTCAATGGGGTTTAAGTCAGGACTTTGGGAAGGCCATTCTAAAACCTTAATTCTAGCCTGGTTTAGCCATTCCTTTTCCTCTATTGATGTGTGTTTTGGGTCATTGTCTTGTTGGAACACTCAACTGCGCTCAAGACCCAACCTTCGGGCTGATGGTTTTAAGTTTTCCTGCAGAATTTGGAGGTAATCCTCCTTCTTCATTATCCCATTTACTTTCTGCAAAGAACGAGTTCCACTGGCAGCAAAACATCCCCAGAGCATAATACTACCACCACCATGCTTGACAGTAGGCATGGTGTTCCTGGGATTAAAGGCCTCACCTTTTCTCCTCCAAACATATTGCTGGGTGTTGTGGCCAAACAGCTCAATTTTTGTTTCGTCTGACCAGAGAACTTTCCTCCAGAAGGTTTTATCTTTGTCCATGTAATCAGCAGCAAACTTCAGCCGAGTCTTAAGGTGCCTTTTCTGGAGCAAGGTCTTCTTTCTTGCACAGCAGCCTCTCAGTCCATGCCGATGTAAAACACGCTTGACTGTGGAGACTGACACCGGTGTTCCATCAGCTTCCAAACCCTTGCAGACCTGCTTCTTGGTGATTCTTGGTTGACTCTTGACCATCCTGACCAATCTCCTCTCGGCAGCATGTGATAGCTTGTGTTTTCAATGTCAACATTTATGGAACCACTTCTCAGCCAAAATTTCAAGGGTTTGTTACTCCTGGACCTTTGTTGAGGCTTTATTTTAAAAAAAAATCATAAAAGATGTCCAGGTTTTATGAATACGATTCAGTTTTTATGTGTTTTTTAACAAGATTTGATTGGGATAATACTTAATTATTCTCAAGGGGAAAGAATGTTTCAAATTTTAGTTAATTTAATAAAACGTATAGTTGAAAAATGTACAGCTTCAGTGTCAAAAATAGCAAATTTAAACTACTAGCAGACCACAAAATTCACTACATTTAAACCGCATAAATTTGTCTTTTTTCTTTAGTTCTAACTGCTTAATAAACAAATTTTTTATGAAATATGTAAATTGTTAAAGGGGATCTATTATGCACTTTCATTTGAGTCTGAGCAGCTCCTAAAAACATCCCGAGTGCTTAAGAACAAAAAAAGAAAACAAGAACAAAAAACTCCCAGCCATTTTTTATTAACATGTTAAAATTCCCAGCCCTGAATTTCACTGAAAATACTTTAGCATTTCAGTATTTCTCATATCTGCAAACTTTTGTTGAGTTGCGGGAGATGTAACCATACGATAAAGCATGTGTAGGATATATTTTTAAACCAAGTTCAGCATTAATCTGAATTGAAATCTTTTTGAAATGTATTTATTTTGGCCTTTTGCAATAAAAAACAATAAATAGTGCAATGCTTTGTTATAAAAATAACCATATAACAGACAGACAGACAGACAGACTCCAATGTCTCTCTGCCCAGTTTTATAACCATTAGATCAGACAGAGATTTAAAAAGGAGTGGCAAAATCAAAGGAGATGGATTAGTGTTGCTTGCTAAAAACTTATGGTGTCATCCAGGAAATGTTGCTGTGGAATATTGTTTCTGGTTTCCCCCAGAAAACGTGCTAAGCCCGGTGCTCAGGGCGCTTCGGCAGTAATCCAGTTTAACGCCGCAATTTTGAGTCAAAAAATGTTTAAAGTTGACAGGAAATTTGAAAATATCATTTGATAGTTATGCATTTTTGGAAGACTGGAAGATTAATATCTAAACACCAACTGTAAAGTCTTAAAAAGGCAATCATAATATAAAGCGAATAAATTAACAACACTAAGCCTGGTGGCCTGCCAGGCTTATAATATACCGAGGGAAACCCTGATATCAGTCATGATGAGACCGTCATACGACATCAGTCTTCAGTCAGAGGTGTTTTCAGATTAGTCGCCAGACTGACTGCTACCTACCTGCCTATAGCATCACCATCGACTATTTGAAGTTTCTTATATAATACAAGTTATGACAAAAATTGATTTCCTTTAGGGATAAGAATCTTTTGAGATGAGATCTTTTAAAATGCTTTGTGAAATGAAATGAAAAAGATATTTCTGTTGAGGTTACCACCTCGTCTGCTCCATCCTAAAATGACGAGCAGATGATGAGAATATAATTTCTCAGCATTTTTGAAGGAAGTTTTACTCTGAGACTTGCACGTTTCTACATCTGGTAAGGGATTTAAGGAGGTCAGCGTTGATTTGAAATCAGCCAATTCCCTGTAGTCCACAAGAGGAGGACATTGAAAACAATTGCCAACATGCCCAGGTCTGAACGTTAATGGAAGTTCACCTTGAAAGCAAGATGCTAAAAGAAGTCTCCAAAAACCAGTAAGATGACATCGTGGGAAAGAGCCTGAACAATCAGGAAGACTGTACCAGCTTAACTTTCCTGGGAAGGAACGTGAAGGAGCCACAGAGACTAAAACTGCATCATTTGGACACCAGAACAGAGGACATCTGGCATCTAATGCAGCGTTCCATGAAGAAGTCTTAATAAAGTATTCAATGTTTGTCCTCATTTTTTACATGGTTTTTATAGATTTGCTTTTCTGTGTATTTGTTCTTTGTTGTAAACCAAACCCGTCTTCAGTGTTTGTTGCCTAAAAGCTCAGTCTTAGTTCTGTCTAGTCAAAGCCCACAGTTTGAGTTAAAGTACCAGCAACATCAAGAACCTGTTGATAATTATGGCTGTAGGACAAAAATAACAACGTCCCATGATTGATCGATCGGTCCATCCATCCATCCATCCATCCATCCATCCATCCATCGATCCATCCATCCATCCATCCATCCATCATCTGGTAATTTTCCATCATCCATCCATCCATCCATCCATCCATCATCTGATAATTTTCCATCCATCCATCCATCCATCCATCCATCCATCCATCTGATAATTTTCCATCCATCCATCCATCCATCCATCCATCCATCCATCCATCCATCCATCCATCCATCATCTGGTAATTTTCCATCATCCATCCATCCATCCATCCATCCATCATCTGATAATTTTCCATCCATCCATTGAAACAAACAACCAGTAATCCAAAATGAATCCTTCCATCCATCAGGTGACTCTTCCATCTATCTGTCTGTGTGTCTGTCTGTCTGTCTATCATGTTTTAAATGGTTAATAACGTGATTTAAAATGTTTTAAATGTCTAATAACGTGATTTAAAATGTTTTAAATGGTCAATAACGTGATTTGAAATGTTTTAATAACGTATAATAAAGTGTACAGTCATATTCCAGTTAACCCCAGTTCTTACAGGAACTATGTCAACCAGTGTGGGTCAGGGCCATCTCACTAGCAGACAGAGACCCAGCCCCTCTTGTAAACAGGCGTCTGGCCTTCCACCCATTCTACCGTTTCATTTCCTTACTTTTTTATTATTATCATATCAGGACTAAATCTGTAACGGCTCGTCTGTTCCAACTTCACCCAGTTATAAAATGCTGTCGCCGGGCTGATCGTTAACGTTACAGTTTAACGGAGGTTTGTTTTCTTGCCTCCACGGTCCGCGGCTACTTCCTGGTGCCACAGAGAGAGGCAGTGCTGAGTTAAAGAGACAGAAACACTGGTAGAAATTCAGACAGAAAAAAAACCACTGAGAGAGGAGAGGGGCTGGAGACGTGATAGGAACAGTTGACCGGATTCCCAGAAATTGAAATCCCCCCCTGTCTCTCTCTGTCTCTCTCCCTCTCTCTCTTTTTTTCTTTCTGTTCTTATTTATGTAAATATTTTAAATATTTCCTCGGTGAATCGAGCGGTTGTTCTTCGTCGGCGCGGATGACGGTCTGCTGCGGCTGAAGCGGAATTGTAACGGGGGAACATATTCCTCCCTCCGACGGACGGACGGACGGAGAGAAGCCTCGCAGAGATTTATTATTATTATTATTTTCACAGCACACTCGTTGTTGGTGTGACTATTATTATTTTTTAAAACCCCATCCTCCTCGGCTGCCATTTTTTCTTCTCTTTACAACGATATTATTTTTAACGGCTCCACAAGGAAGGGTTGAGGGTGACGGAAGATGGGTTGTTTGGGCAACAGCAAGACTGAAGACCAACGCATCGACGAAAAGGCACAACGAGAAGCTAATAAAAAGATAGAAAAGCAGCTACAGAAGGAGAGACAGGCGTATAAAGCAACACACAGGCTCTTACTGCTGGGTAAGGCTCGTTTAAACGCGGTGGCTGGTGTTTAAAATGTGGACTAATCCGTTTCGTTTACCGAACACGTAGCCGTATTTCTTTGACAGCAGCAATAATATGTCATGGGGGTGGATATTGATGGAAGCTCTACAGCCTTACAATTAATAATAATAACAATTTACCCCCACGGTTGAGCATATTTACCCCCTAATATGTGGGCAGGATGTAGTCGCTTGGTGCTAAATTTGTGTTTTTATATATATATTTATATTTTTTCTGTCGAAGGTGCGGGAGAGTCCGGAAAAAGCACCATTGTGAAGCAGATGAGGATTCTACACGTCAACGGCTTCAACGCTGAGTGAGTGCTGCGCATTTAAAAACTGCACAGAAAATTACATTTATGCTCTCGTTTATGGCTACTCTGCTAATGAATAACGCCGCCGAGGCCAGCACACAGCCTGCTGCCACTGCAGCGCCTGTTGGGGCCCTGTAACCACCATGCAAACCTGCTAATATCTGCCTCTTCCCCCCACTATTTCTGCTCTGTTTTAAAAAAGGTACAGTTGTAAATGTGGGGGATTTGAGTGTATCACGAAGCCTGTCAGTGAAAAAAAAAAACAACAACAACAACAAAAAAAAAACAGTTTCCTGTTTCATGCATGGGGGAAAGAAAGGTTGTGATCGACATAGGCCTATTGATGATTTGTTTTGCTGCAAGGCCTTGCATGGCATTGATCTTGGTCTGTTTTAAACAGGCCTGCAACATGTCAGAGTCTTTTAACTGCAGAAAAATCCTCTGCATGTGTATGGAAATTAAAGACAGGCTGCAAGGTTTAACCAAGATTAAAAAATTATAATGATGGGGTAAATTATCTCAGCATTGTTTCTGATAATGATCAAATTATTTCACTTTCTAGAGGAGGTTTTTTGGCATAAATTTAACCAGTAAAATGGTTTTTGGTCTATTTTGCTGCTTAAACATTTGTAATTTCTAAGACTGAACCCTGTTTTCCCTTATTGTCTTAATTAATTTGAACTAATGTCTGTTTTAAAGAGGCTTAGAGGCTTACAACATGTCAGAAATGTTTATCTTTAAGAAAATCCTCTTTATTTGTAAATTAATTACATGTATTTAGCAAAGCAAGTCAGTATCTGTTATTGACATTCAAATCCGGTAATAATAATATAATTACTATTCTTTTTAGATCGTAATTGAATTGTAGCTTATGATAATAAGCAAAACTGTCTAAATGCTAGGAAGTATTTATTTAATAGATTTATACTGAGGAGGGACAACCTTTCTATTGAGATTTAACTGCAAAAATAATGCAATTATCACTGAGTTTTACCTGCTTATAAGTTAAGTCATAGCTTGTGCTTTAATCACACAATACTTTAAACTATGTTAGAATAAAATTTTAGGTCTGGTTTTTGTTCTTGAAGACCTTTAACCTCTTAGCATGAATCCCATTTCACCTCTTGCCCCTCTCTGTCTCGATTGATCTCAGCTCAGACCTGCAAGACGTCAGAGTATTTTAACTACAGGAATGAATGTAGCAATTAAAATGTGTTTTTTTTTCAAGAGTAGGCAGGATTTTACTATATAAACCATTTTAATGCAATACTAAGAATTATTGCAGATTTATGCCTATCTGGGTTTAATTTTGTTTGCACTTGCAGATTATAGTTAAATTAAGTGATACTGCAACAAACATTAAATGTTGTCCCTGTGTTCAATTTACTCAAGACTTTTAGTTAAAAATCTTACCTGTAATCTGTTCAACTTTACCTCATTTAGCTCGTATGTTAAGGTGAAAGAAGATGTGAACAATTGATTACTGATTGTTGTTCAGGGCTTGATCAACTCAATAACTGAGTATGATGTTTAATGGCTGTCGGTACCAAAAGTTATTGCAGCTTAATAAAATGTAACATGGCGTACTAATGTTTAGAAAGACAATGCAATCTTACAAAATGAGATTGTGGTAAGTAAGAGTTCCTCCAACAGACTGAATATTTTATAGCCAAGCAAAATGTGAAATCTTTAAATGTTCAAACTGCAGTGCTATTAATGTAATTCCCCTTACTTAGAAGTGAGTGTATCGTTAAAGCCTCTACATATCGTATCGGTTTCTTTTTCCAGCATGAGCTGACACTGGTGCACACACAGTGGTGCTAACGTAGCTTAGCGGCAGTGGTTAGCCTAAAAATAATTGCCAGATTTTCAAAATAGAAGCAGGGTATTCTGATTTGTGTGCATAAATAAGAACGTTAGCATTTTTGAAGCCCTTTAAAACAGATTGTTTTTCACAGGGACAGCTAAAAGTGTAGAGCTACAAGTACCTGCAAGTCTGCTTACAAATGTAGCTATTTTCTTATTTTACGTATTTGTAACGACACAATCTGTCCTTTAATGTTTGTTTCTGTAAATAATGCATGCTAATGTCAGCTACAGGATGGATAAAACATTAATATGCCATATGTTTACATGCTACTGCTGTAGCTAACGATTGTTTTAGTAATTCTTTTGACGATTAATCAGACAAGAAAATTGGCACATTCTGCAGATTTTTCATTTGACCACTTAAGCCTTCTTTATACAATGTTAGGAAAACATTAAGATATGAAAATAAACAAATAATATAGCAATAATATAGCTTTCCATTAGTGGATTTGAACGAGGCAGAGCTAAAATCGAAGACTTTTGGTTTACAGACAACGTTGTTTTTTCTTACCTTACGTGCAAAATATTGCCTTAATCATTACTCTGACTGTGTTATTCATTCACAAAATGTCCTTTTTTATCGTCTGCATAACGATTAATCGATTTCTGAGTTAGTTGATAATTGATTCTATTAATCACAATTAATCCGATTAATCGTTTCAGCCCTACTGCATACAAGAAATTATAGATAAATCAGCTTCTTAAAGTGGATGCCTACTCTTACTAGAGGAGTATTTTAAGAGAAACATGCCAAAAATACACTGAGGGGTCACCCCGGCTGGTTTGTTGGATTGATTTTGATGTCCAGGAGATGAAAGAAGCTGCTTTCATGTGTTTGAGTAGTTAAAGAAACAGCAGGATAGCAGCTTAGAAAAGAAAAGAAAACAAAAAAAAACATTCATAATTTGGTTGTAAACATGCGGAAATCAAATGCACTTTGCACACGCATTGCGATTTATGTCGACTCTGTTTTGTATAGTGTGAACGTACCGGGATCAGGGGTGCGCTCTATTGTCAGGACAGGTTTACTTTTGCTGTTTTATGCAAAACCTGTCAAAAGAGATTCTTCCTAAATAGAATAGATGTAAACTTAGCTAAATATTCAACATGGATCCCAGTGGAGATTTCACCATGAATGATCTCCACTGAGCTCATTGCAACCCACCAAAGAATATTTGTACTTTTAGACTTCAAAATCTGGGAAGAGTAAATTTTTTAATAAAATGGTGGAAAAGCGAAACACTGGCAGGACGCATCAGCGATTATTCTGGTAGGAATGGATAATGATCCATTGATTCAGCAGGTCTTGAAAGTGAAGTTACTTCCGTTATAAGCTCCAATCATGTAATATACATGTAAATTTTACTTTAAGGAAGTAAACTTTTAAGTTAAACTTTAATAAATGGTTTGTGTTTGTGCATAAAGTATTTTAAACCAAAAACAGACGCTAAGATAGACATTTCTGATCATGGATTGTATGATTTATTTCTCTTTCCTTTGTTAGAACATATAATAACGATCATCTTGTCGCAGTTTTTTGTGTTTTTAAGTTGCTTGTAGAGTCCAGCAGCACATGCCTGACCCGTGTAGCTTTGGGCTAAAGGAGGAACATTGTTGGCCATTTTTATCGTGATTTTGAAGAGAACCAGAAGGTCTGTGGACCAACTTGTGGGTCGACGTCCAAAATCTGAACGCATTGAGCGAATGAAGCGCAGAATAAAAAGACTGAAAACCGTTTCCTGGTTTTAGAGGAAATGTTCGGCCCATAAACCCTCCATCCTGATGTGTGTCCTTCCTGCTTCTCTTTCTTCCGTGTGTCTTTGCTTCCAAACTGTAATTTTTATTTTTCGTCTTGTATTTTTCCTTCCTTGTGTCTTCACTTCCTTTTTCCTTGTGTCTTTCCTTANGTATAAGAGTAATGCTCAGCAATTGAGCATTAGTAAGAAAAAGTGAATACATTCCAGTGAATCAATATTTCCATCTTCAGTGTAGCCGTATTTTATTTATTTTTTTCAAGGAGCACTTTTAAAAAAACTGAAGAGTCAGAGGTGTGAAAACTTTTTTGCTAATTTTCATAACGATTTCTTAAGATATACACTTAAAAACATTTATGCAGTAGATGTAGAAAGAGAGGAGGAAAGAGAAAAGATTGCTTGTGCTTCTATGTGCAACATCTTTTAAGATGATTGTGCATAATCAAAACTCTAAATTTCACTCTTCCATCCAGGATCCACATGCAGCTGGAGGGCACTCATCTCTCCAACGGGCTCTACAAACGCAACAGCACTAATTTAGCCTTCTACTAACAGGAAATAGATTATTTACATTAACTGATTTAATTGATCAACATGTGGAACGAACAGTTAATTATACATCAATCACAACATCTGAAAATATATCCACAAAAATTTTACATTTTCTACATTTAATTTGAACTAAAAATTGTATTAGTGGTTTAAACTTGTGTCATCAGCAACAATGGCTCTGGCAAGATGCAAAATACTAAAGAACAAAATAAGAAAAATACACAAAAAATAATTTCTAGACTAGATTCAGGATGAAATACTTAAAGACTAATCAAGAAGTAAAAGAAAAAAAAAACTGTACAAACCTTCAGAGTCAGTGATTTTCAGGGCTTTCATTTTTGCCTCAAAGAGATCTTCCTCTTCAACGTTCTTGAAGTCAATCCCTACGTAGCCATTCATCTCCACACAGTAATTTATGAACCTATGAGAAAAAAAGTAAAGCCATAATCTCATCAGAAGCCTGACCTGTGATTAGCTAGGTCCATATTTAAGTCACAGGGTTTATAGAAAATGTTAAATACACACTTCATTCCCCACTCATTCTCTCTCTTTGTGAGGGAGAATGAAAGAGGACCGGTCTCACTATATTGACACCAACACTGAACCCTAAAGGTGTTTGTAGCTGAAAACCTCTCTGTGACTTACTTCTTCCATAGAGGATCCTTCCTGAGGATCACTGGATTCCCTATGACTACGAGTAGAGACTTGGCTCTCGTCAACGCCACGTTAAACCTCTAAAAAATAAACAAATACAATATAGAGTTGTGATTTTGATTGTTTTGTGTAAAAAGATGCACATGGTTGTATTTTAAATGATATAATAAAGAA